ACACATAAAGTCAGAGGAATCACACTACCTAACATCAAACTATACTACAAGGTCACAGTACTCAAAACAGCATGGTACTGGCATAAAAACAAACCTACAGATCAGTGAACAGAAAGAGAGCCTAGAAATAACTCCACACTTTTCTAGTAAATTAGTATTTGTCAACGGAGGCAAAACATACAATGGGGTAAAGACAGTCTCTTCAATAAACGGTGTTGGGAAAATTGGGCAGGTATGTGCAAAAAAACAATGAAACTAGACCACCTTTTTACGCCATACACAAGAATACATTTAAAATGGATTAAACACTTAAATGTTAGACTTGAAAACATGAAAATCCTAGAAGAAAATATGGGTGGTAAAATCTTGGAAATGTCAGCCAGCAGTATTTTTTCTGATATAACTGCTTGGGCTAGGGAAACAAAAGTAAAAATAAAAAAATGTGACTACATTATGCTCAAATATTTTTAATAGGAAAGGAAACCACCAGAAAAATGAAACATAACCCATTGAATGGGAAAACATATTCTCCAATGATACACCTAATGAGGGGTTAAAACCCACAATTTATAAAGAACTTATAAAATGCAATAACCTTAAACAATCCATTAAACAATATGCTTAAAAAACCTGAATAGATGTTTCTCCAGAGGACAGACAGATGTCCAGTAGACATATGAAAATATACTCAAAGTCACTAATTATTAGAGAAATGCCAACTAAAGCCACAGAGAAGTATCACCCCATACCTGTCAGAATGGCTATCATCAATAAATCAATACACAACAAGTGTTGGCAAGGATATGGCGAAAAGGGAATCCTTGTATGCTGTTGGTGGGAATGCAGATTGATGCAGTCACTGTGGAAAACAGTATGGAGGTTCCTCAAAAAATTAAAAATAGAACTGCCTTATGACACAGTAATTCCACTTCTGGGTATATATCTAAAGAAACCCAAAACACTAACTTGAAAGGATATATTCTTCCCCCTATGTTCACTGCAGCATTATTTACAATATCAAAGCTATGGCAGCAACCCAAGTGTCTATGAATAGATGAATGCATAAAAAAGCTATGGTACATACATACAATGAAATATTACTCGACCATTAAAAGTGAAATTTGTGGCAGCATAGAAATAAGTCAGAGAAGAGAAACACTGTATGATTTCACTTATGTTTGGATCTAAAGAACAATATAAATGAACCAACAAAACACAAATGGACTCATAGATACAGAAAACAGACTGATGGCTGCCAGAGAGAAGAGAGTTTGGGGGACTGGGTGAAAAATGTCAAGGGACTGAGAAGCAAAGGTTGGTAGTTACTAGTAATTGAGAAAAATATATAGCATATGAATATACAATATTTGGGTGTGTATAATGTGCACCCACATTTTTAGCCCAAACTTTCAGAAAACAAATCTTTCACTTCAATTTATTTATTTAATTTTCCATTGTTTAATTCAATTAAAAAAGTTCAATAGAACTGATTATCATTTTTCTAGGATATTATTTTGCATATGGATATTGTAATTGCTTTTCAGAGTTACACTTTTAATGCATAAACATAATGGAATTAATATTTATATAAATATAGAATTAGTACTACCCATGTATAATGTGCATCCTTATTTTCCCAAAAAAATTTGGGCCAAAAAGTGTACATTATACATGGCAAAATAGGGTAGTCAATAATATTGTAATAACTGTGAATGGTGCCAGGTGAGTCCTGGAAATATCAGGGGGAACACTTTATAAAGTATATGCTTGTTTAACCATTATGCTGTACACCTGAAACTAATGCAAAATAATACTGAATATAAACTCTAATTGAAAAAAATTAAAAACAGATAAAAATGTGACTGAAGTTTGAGAAATAATACACTTTTCCATTGAGTCAACAAATAAATATAAGTGTCAATTACGAGCATACCTTTTGTTTAGCCACCATGGACAAAAAAGGATGCTCAAAGAAATGTATATGGAAAATCAGCAGTAAAGGAAATTACTTCGAAATGAGTTAATCAAAAACAGGATTCATAGACATAGTAGCATTTGAGCTAGGACTCAACAGATATGATTTAGTCATAGAGGGACAGAGCATGTGAAGAGAACAAAAACTTAACAATATAGGCCTAAGTGGTGGCAACTTTAAAATTTTGATTTTGGTGGTGGTGACATGGGTGTGTACATAATGCACTAAAACATGAGTGCACACTGTTATATATAAATTTTTCCGTAATAAATTTGATACCATTTCTTTAACCTATGCAATGAAAAGTCATTGAGGTTTCCAGCTTGACTAGCTCCAGTGGGGGATGGGGGGAGGTGAATACAATAAGTAGAAAAGGGAATCACGTTTAAAGGCAAGATCAAAAGTACTTATTTCATATAATATATTTTCATAAAAACTGTTTGCTATTACATAAAAATAGCAACTCTTTATTTCTTCATAACAGTTTCTTTTCAGGGAGAGAACTTACCTAAATTAAGGTTCACCTATTAAAATCAAATGTTACTACCCCCACCTCCTTATTCCCCCCCCCAACAAAGGAGTACAATAAAACACTCATCTCTAACAAGGTGACAGAGTAAAAGAAGTAGCCACTGGGGTTGTGTGCTAATGATACCCGACAGAATTTAGCAAAATTATTTAAGATTGTATCCAACACTTAGATCCTGATGGTAGTGAAACTGAGAAACTGTCTTAGAATGTGCCTTTTAACCTTTAATTCTTTTCAACGATCTGACCTGTTAACATTTAGTTATTAATTATAAACTACATTTCAAGTAGTTTTTGTTACATTCCATAGTTTAAGAATTTATGACTAGACAGTGAAATCATTCGTAGTAAAAAATAATACCATTATTAAAAGTCTTTACTTGTTGGATCTTCACAATGCCATTCTTAATAACGTGACCATAAAATCGAATTTAAAACATGGATTAAGGTTATAAAAAAGCATAAAGAGACCAGACAAAAAGAAGATACAAATCAAAGCATTAACCTATGTGGATGTCCTATGTCCACAGAAACCTATGTGGATACTTAATATTTTAGTAAGGAAAATGTAAGTTTGTTATACCAGTGAGTTGCCACTAGATTTTCACACTCCAGAAAACTTAACCTGAAAGCTGTGTGGGCACTTTCAGAGTTGAAGGGGTACTCAGCTCAAGTACTACAACTTTTAAATTATCATTCTACATACAGTAAGTCAGTTCTTGGAACTGAGGTGAAATGATATGCAACAAAACCAATTTTACCACATTATGATTGCCATGAATATGTTCCTACAGCAATGATATAAGGGAACCAAACCAAAAGAAACAGTGTTATTCAAGGACCTGTAGTAATTATAGTTTAGGAGATGTTAACAGGGTGGCAATAAGAAAATAGGCTCTCTGCCCAAAGTTTAGGAAACCATATAAGCACAGTAGTAAAAGTTTTGAGAAGTCCTGCAGTTAAAAGCAAATGAAAAGTTAAACTCTTGATTAAAGCCAATGTGCTCCCAAGTTATTTGCCATAGAACACTATCTGGGAGGCAGTGAGGCTATTATTGATATTGTTCAGAGGGAAACATAAAACTCTGATCTTATGAAAATACCTTAGATGACAAAACTGAGGCCTACAGACATTATAATAGGTTAGCAGAACGAAGGACTTAAATCTCTCATTCCTAGGCTAGAGCTCCTTCCATTAATATAGGGTTCCTTTGATTTTATATAGTCAAACATTTAATTAACGTTTAGTTTACATTTAACATTTTTGTTATGGTGTCACATTTTCTAGTTTGTGTACTAACAGGTGTTTTTAATTTTTCCTTCAAAACTCTAGTTCCCAATGACCAGATCCACCTGGAGATTTGCTATTGTTTAGCAATTCTAGGGAATGATGTAGTTTAGAGTGGTAGCTAAAAGTAATCAATAAAAAAATGAAGAATTTGTACAACTTGGTGTTAATTAAGTCTTGTTACAACTCCTGTTAGCACAACGAATCACACTGTGTTGTTTATCAGGTGGTGAGTTACTTAGCACCTAATGCTGACATGTTATTCATATTAAAATTAAGAGCTAAAAACATAATAAAATTAAGATCTTATGTTTGCATAAAAGAGGGCCAACAACATCGAAATTGAGAGATTTTTGTTTTTCTTTAGTTCAGGGCTTATGTGTCAGGCAGTTTCCTAACGTGTGTGTGAGATAATAAAAATAAGTTTTGATTACTTTAACTAGTCTTCAAATCAGATTTTTCCAATTTCTGTACTTCTCAAACTCCATAGGACTCTAAGATAATGTAGAATAATCAACACAAAGTTTACCTAGCTTTAAAAATGTATAGTTGTGTGCCACTACCCTCCCCATAAGGGTAAGGGAGAATGGAAGAGACGGAACAAGTAACTATTGTTATGTTGCAACTTTAAAAGCCTTGAGAATCAAAAGTGATAACTGTCAACAACTTCCTTATGACTAATCTGACTTCCTGTAATAAACTTCTTGCACTCTTTTCCATCCCCCACAACGACCTTTAACTATTGCTACCACTCGTGTCACAATATTGAAAGAACCCAACAAATTAATGGCACTACACGAGGCCTTGATTGTGCCAACAAAGAGGTAACGCTGCGCGCCTTTATCACACAGGTGCGACCTCCACTCCAGCACTGCGCACTTCGCCGCCGCAGCGCCCGTGGCTGGGGATCACGCACCCCACGCCCCAGCCACGCCTGCGGCCACCTCGCTCTTGGTCGCTCTCCAACCTCCGCCCCGCTCCCCCACGCGGGGCCGGCGCGGCTCCACTTCCCAGAACCCGGAGGACCGCCACCAGGCTCCCCGGCACCAGGCGGGGCCAGGGCGGCAACACCCCCCACGCCACAGCAACCCGACCCGCGGGGATGCCCCCAGGGCTCCTGGAAGAGCCAGGCCGGGGGAAGCTGGCCGGGGAAGCTGCTCTGGACCAGCAGCTGGCCCTGCGAGCACTTTGGGGGCGGGGACACCGTTACCTGCTGCCGGCACAGCTGCTCCCGTCGGCGCCGCTCTCCTGGCAACCGCGGCAGCTACGCGGAGGCCAAAAACCGGAGGGCCCGGTGACAGCTCCCAGAGTGCACTGCGCCGGCGCCCTTGCCCACGCCGGCGTTGACGTCGACGACCTCGATCTCCACGCCCAGTCCCTTTCTAGTCTCCGGCACTAATTGTCGCCACAGCGCCCTCAAGCGGACCTTCAGGGAAGCAGTTCAGGGCCACCAACTGCGGAAGTGGGCCTGGAAAGGGGTTCATTTAAGACAGCAGGTGTTTTCAACTCGCTAGCGCCAGCCCTGCCCTGATGGAGGGTTTAGAGGGATGTTAGGAATTGAAAACAGCTGTTAAACATTACTTAAATAATTAAATTATACTTAAATAATTTAATTATTTATAAATTATACTTAAATAATTTAATTATTTAAGCTCTTAAATTATACTTACATAATTATTTAAGTATAATTTAAATAATATCTTTGTATTATAAAGAGCTTGAGGCTCAGAGAGGTTAGAAGACTTGAAAGGTTAGGAGACAAATAGTGATTAGCTTTGGTCTGTTTGCGTCTAAAACTCTCTAAATCACAGTTACTAAAAGTAGGATTGCAGTGTTTACAATGAAATGATTGTTTTACAAATATGTAAGTATATAAAATATAATCTTTAAAAAAATCAAACACCAATTATGTCAGTATTTAAGCACGTAAATAGCCTTTAGAATTAAAGCTGGAATATACGAGGAGTTGAAATTATCACCCTTCAACACCATTATTTAAGATGGAATAGCAGTAAACTTAATTTTTTCATCTGTGTGGTTGAATGTTGTAAGGAATAAAGAAATCTGAGAAAGCAACATGATAAATTTTAAGATTCCAAATATCAATTTTAGAAAAATTGTTTTAAGCTAGTGTCTCTAAGGAAGTGTCTTTATCTTCTGATGAATGTTTGGTGTGTGGTGATTAGGACCTTGAGATTATAAAGTAGACTATCAATAAACATACAATCTTCTGTATATGAGCATTCACTCCTGTTTTTAAAAACAGCCTCTTGTTTTTAAATAATTCGTATAATGCTAGCATGGCCTTATATTTTAATATGTCCTATTATAAGTATATTATAATATAAGGTATACATTTTGTATCAAACATTCCAAAATTATCTTTTGGTAGTAACGAAATTTAGATTTCTCTAAGTCAGTTTTTCTGCAAAAGCGAATAGTGAATGCACATGGAATCATTCTCTTCCTTTTCTCAAAGGTTATAGGGAATGGCTAATCCTGTGATTCACGTTACTGGTTTTACCACACTCTATTCTTCATGGGGAACAGAAAACTTACATTTTTGCAGCTGTTTACGTCTCGGAATGATCCTTTCTAACTTGAGAAGCAATGCCAAGTCAATCCTGGACATCTCAAACAGAGGAGAGCTACCAAATGACCGATTGACCATAGCTCATAAAAATTGGACTATCATTCATAAAAGCAAAATAAAACACAAGACAATACAATGGATTTGAGGTGGAAAATCTCCTTTCAGGCCTCCAGGGGGAAAGCTGCCCTGTATTGCCTCTCTCTTCCAGCCTCAACCCTATCCACGCTAGCCAAAGGAATCTACAACGAGTCTGATTTTCAAGATCATTTCCAGGGAAACTAATGCATCAGGTCATGCCCATAAGAAGCAGAGTGGGAGGACAATTTGGCTCTCTGTGGCCACTTTCATTAGCGCTCAGACCCATTGAAAATGCTCACACCTCTCTGATCGAGTCATCGAGGCAGCGCGCTCTCCGCCAGGCAGGTGGCGCTGTGGGCTGGATGGCTGTTCCAGCCAAGCTATCCGGTCCGGGAGCCCAGTGCCTCCGTCGCTGCAAGCGCCGCTAGTAAAGCTTCTGCTCGGGCCGCACGTGTTTTGGTGGTCCAAGACCTGGTGGCTTGGATTGGCCGGGGTCTCTGGCTGGGCGCCCGCCATGGCGGTGGCGGCAGAGACGCACGTGTTCCTGGAGGTACGCAGACAGCTGCAGAGTGCGCTGCTGATCCTGGGGTAAGGCCAGGGGTGAAAGTGTTGGGCTATTAGGCGTAGTGCCTGGCTCGCTTTTCTGCTACTCGGAAAGTCTCCGCTTCTCTAGGAAGGTCCCCCCCCCCCCCACAATTTCTTTCCAGTCGCTTTACAGATCTGTTCAGATCTCTTGATTACTCCGAGTGCAGGGCCGCCTCTTGCATAGTTCCCCCTCGACAACCTCATCATTACCTGGGAGCTTTTTAGAAATGCAGCCTCAGCCCCTCAATAGACCTTCTGAATCAGAACTTACATACATTTTAACATACCAGGATTCAGATGCACATTAAAGTTTGAGGAGCACTGATGTAAAACACTGATGGCAATGTCCGGCGTTTCCAACAAAACAGTACAGGGGCGGGACGATACCTTTTCCACCTCCTTTCGGATCTTTGTTGTAGGGTACAGGATCACCAAAGTGAGAGCTTCCTGTTTTGTAAATAAAGTTGGTGGGGTTCCCCCCGCCCCGACTGTTCTATGCGGAGAAACTGACACAGTCGTTAAAAACGTGTTTAGTACAATGAGTGACTAACAAAGTTTGCAGACTTACTGGAGTTCTTTCTTTGATTCATGTTCCGAGTTCCAGTGAGAAGTCCGAAAACGTTTAACTTGTTATTCACTACATAAACAAGAGAAAGTTAGGAAAAGTGTTCTTTTATTTTGTACTATAGGATCCCTTCCCCTGTGACCACTGTTTCAAATAAATTAAATGTTAAAATCATTAAAATATTGTTACACAGCGCCACTCAGAGGTAGACTGATGCTTAGCTTTCTCTCTTTTCCTTAAATTGGCCAAATGTGGCAGTTTTGGAATTTGCACGAGAACTGAATTCAAATCTTAGCTTCTTCGCAAAGGTGGAATCACTTAATCTGATTTGTTTTCAACTATAAAATGGGGATATTTATTTCTCTTCTATCTCTCAAATCATGAGTTCAGATAAGTATCTTTAATTCCAGTTTACTTTGTAGGGTTATTAGGAACCCAAACCTTACACACACAAAAAACAGCCTCCCTACTTCCTTTCATCAAAGGGGCCCGGGCCCTTCAGGGTTCTCTTGTATTATGAGAAACTACCACCAAACAGTTCTCCAAGGTGGTTGTACCATTTTACACTCTCACCAGAAAAGAATGAGAGTTCCAATTGCTTCGCATTCTCGTCTGCATTGTGTTGTCAGACTTTTTGATTGTAGTCATTCTAATGGTTTAAAGTGATATCATCTGGTTGTCATTTTAATTTGCATTCCCTGATTGTGTACCCTTTCATTTCCTTGTTGGTTATTCATATATGCTCCTTTGTAAGGTATAATTTTTTGGCATTAAAAAATCAGGTTTGTCTTATTGTTGAATTTAAAGGGTTCTTTATATCGTCTGGAGAAAAGACCTTTTTCATTTCTGCCTTGTGAGTATGTGAATGTGTTCTCTTGATCTGTAATTTACCTTTTTATATTTTCTTAACAGTGCTTTTTTAATGAACAGAAAAATTTAATTATAAAGTCCAGTTTATTTCATTTTTCTGTAATGGTTATTGGTTTTCATGTCTTAAGAAATCTTTTCCAACCTTAAGGTTATAAAGATTTTTTCCTGTGTTTATTTTTAAGAGTTAATATAGTTTTAGCTTTTACATTTAGGTCTATGAATACATCAAATTTATTTTTATGTTTGGAGTGAGTCAAGGGTCAAGTTCTTTTTCTTCTCTCCTCTAAGAATATCCAGTGGTTTTGTTGCCATTAGTTAAAAAGACTGTCATTTCTTCCATTGAAATAACCCAGTGTCTTTTCAGAAATCAGTTGACTATACTGCTTGTATGGTATGTCTTTTTCTACCCTTTTACTCTCAATCTGTGTCTTTATATATAAAATTTCTATAGCATATACTTGGCGAAAGTTTTTTTACCATTCTGATGATTTTTGCATTTTAATTAGAATTTTTTAATTTCTATATTGTTATTTACAGTTAACATTACATGATTGAATTTTTTTTGTTCCCATTCTTAAAAGAAATGCCTGTAGCCTTTCATCTTTAGGTATGATGAAGTTGACTTTTGACTAATCTGTTTGATAGATTGCATAGTTCTTTTCTAGTTTAAGGGATTTAATCATGAATAGATAATACCTGTTCTCTAATGATTTCTTCATGGATTGTGATGGTGATATTTTCCCTTTCATCATTACATCTGTTAATTGCATTAGAAAAAAATCTATTTATGTTAAACTTAGCATTTCAGGGATAAATCTAAGCCATTCATTTATTCAATCACAGATATTTACTGAATTCCTGTTCCAGTGCCAAAAACTCAAATTAAGTCCTGGGTATACAGCTGTGAACAGACATAACAGCAAAGACAAAAATACTTGCTCTCATTGAAGTTATAGTCTATAGTCAGTGGGTGACGTGTAGGCAGAAAATATACAAAATAAACAAAATTCTCATTGTATTGAATACAGATAAGCACCTGGAAAAAAATAAAATAGAAAAGGGGATAGAGAGAAAAATGACAAATCGGTGTTCCAAATGCAGAAGCGACATTTGAGTAACAAATTGAATGAAGTGCAGTATGGAACTCTAGGGTACTGGTATAAGACAGTTGTCTCTGAGTGGGAAGGGGTGCTTAGTTCCCAGAGTTGCGTGTGGGCTGGTGGAGCATGTAGTAAACGGTCATACAGTGAGTGGTGTGCTGGCAAATGTTTAATAGCTTGCTTTCCAGGAAAACAAAGCAACCAAACAAACACAAACCTCCCTGATTTGCAGCACTTACTGATTCCTACAGTGTAAATACTTCCACCCTGTGTGGTGTCAAAACTGTCAAAGTGAGGTCAACTGGTTTGCAAAATGCCTACAACTTGAACAGCTGGCTCTGGTAAGCCCTTTCAGTGGTCCTGCACACTACTGAGAGGACATTAGTCGGTACTCAGAGTGAGATATGAAGTTATTGGGTTGTTTCAAGCAAGATTTGACACCTGAAAGAAACCAGGTGAATAGTGGAGAAAGCCTCAAGCTATAAAAGGTGCCCACAGCTGGAATTTCAAAAACTTTGTTTTGGATCAGTAGCAAACTCAAGAGTAGGTTGCTGTCACACCTGAGTATGTTACTACTGATTTCCTACAAATAAGGACATTTCCTACATAACCACTATGCAACCCTCAAAATTGGGAAATTTGTTACTATCATCTTATACTCAAACCTTGTTCAAGTTTTGCCAGTTGCAGATGTGGCCAGTGGCGGTACCTTTAAGATGATTTCTGTGTGTCTTTTTGACACGTCCCTATCATTTACTGATTGCTTCTTTACTTTGTTGCACAGCAAGGTGTTCCAGACTCATCTCATGTTTTTCCTGTTCCAGCCTGCATGAAGTCATTTTCCCGAGGCACCCCGTTTTGTTTTGTTCTTGTTCATTTTAAGTGGAAACTGATCTTTAGAGATCAAGATCTGAGCACAAAGTGTGCTTATTACCATCGGGGTGTCACTTCTCCCAAGCCCACTAGTGAACAGAACTAGAGTGTGTGTGTATGTGACATATGTGATGTTCATGTGGGAATGTATGTGTTTATTTATTTGTATCTATATCATACATACGCATAATACATATACATCTATATTTATTACCATATTTGTTTATATACATTGAAAACCATGATTTTACACTGATGCTCCCAATTCCAGTCTGCCACTGTAGGATCCATTCTGCTTTTCTCCCTTTTCCTCTTTGTGACTCTGTTCTCCCAGAGTGACAGTCCTGGCTTTTGTTATCCTCATGACACACAGAGTCACCTTTCCGCTGTGTAACTGATATTCCACTGACGTCCTTTGCCGCTTCCTTCTCCCTATTCAGTGTTGGACTTCTCCCCATTCAGTATCCTCAACTGCATGGACTGACTGGACTGAATGTTGGTGTCTCAAAATTTGTGTGTCGAAACCCTAAGCCCCAAAGTGATGGTATTAAAGAGATGAAGCCTTTGGTAGATACTCATTTTAGTTGAGGTTATGAGGGTGGAGCCCCCATGATAGGAGCCATGCCTGTACAAGAAGAGACACCACAGCTTCCTCTCTCTGCCGTCTAAAGATACAGTGAGAAGGTGGCCATCCGTAAGCCAGGAAGAGGGCCCTCAGTAAGGACCAGACTTGGCTGGCAACTTGGTCTTGGACTTCCCAATCTCCAGAACTACGAGAAATAATTGTCTCGTTTAAACCACCCAGTCTATGCCATTTTGTTATAGCAGCCTAAGCTAAGATAGGCTCTGAAACCCCCTGCATAGCTCTCCCCACCTCAGATTTCCTCCTCATCCCTCTTGGGATCTGACATCCCTGGTGGGTGGCCTCCTTAGCTCATAGACTATATGATGGATGCCCCCCATAGGAATTTACTGAATTCCTATTCTGGTGCCCAAAACTCAAATTCTGGTCAATGGCCTTTTCACCCAGCTTCTCAACTATACCCCAGGCCACCACGGTTCTCCCACCTTTGCATAGATGCCTGCCTTGTTACACCCTACATAACTGGCTTAATTTTTCAGGAAGGGTAAGGGGGAGAACTGTAAGTCAGAGCGGGGGCTTAGGAACCCAGTACTGTCCCTCCTGGCACTTCCAAGTGCTAACTGGAAATTTGAAAATCCAATTTGAAAATCACTGAAATAGCAAAGTGGAAAAACTGTGTATCTTTAAGGTAATGGTCAGCAAACTATGGCCCATGGACCAAATCTAACCTGTGGCCTGTTTTGGTACAGCCTGTGAGCAAAGAATGGGTTTCACATTTTTTTAAGTGTTGTTAAAGAAGGAAAACACAAAGTAGTATAGGCAACAGAGACTGTATATGGCCTGCAAAACCTGAAATATTTACAATCTGGCTTTAATATAAAAAGTTTTCTGATCTCTGTGTTAGAGGATTATTATTTTTTAAACATCATTTCTTAAAACTAGACTTCTGATTGCCAGAAAGGGGGTTGGGGGGGCATTAGAAGTACAAAAAGGTGGGTGATAAATAGCGATGGAAGGAAACTTGGCTTTGGGCGGTAAACACACAATACAATATACAGATGATGTGTTGTAGAACTGTACCCTCAGACACGTGTGCTGGGTGGTGTTAAAGACCCAGTCCCCACGAAAGGGTGGAACCTGCAGCTCCGCCCCACATTAGAGAACTCCCAAAAGATGGTTTGAGTGAATGAATATACAAACCATGCTAGGGTCAAGGGGTGCAAAGATGAATAAGCCACTGTTTCATGCTGTGTTGTTGAATTCTCTTTCCAAAAATATTTCAAAAACAAGTGCATGGCATTTGACAGGCCAGTGTGGAAGAAGCTGAAGTCAGAGAGACTTGTGTGAGGCAGTGGAGGGCGTGAGGAAACGGCCTGGCAGGTTGTGCCAGTGGAATGGCTCTGGCAGCAGCCACAGGAAGGTCCAGGCAGCCGTAGGAGGAGGAAGCTTTAGGAGAGAAGGGACAGGTGGGACTCAGGATCACTATCCGTGAGAAAAAGTGCACATTTGAAAGTGGATCATTACCATAAAAAAGAAGCAAGAATAAAATATATGTCCCAGAGCTTTCATGTAAAGTGCTCTATGACTTGGTGTGAATCTAGTATAGACTTTTTTTTATTGGTTTAGTTTGGTTAGGGTTTTTTGTTGTTGTTTTACAATTGGTCCACTGTTATTTTTCTGGGATAGTTAACTGTAGGGCCCTTATTGAAGAAGCAATGAGGTTGTTTTTGTTCCTTTTTACATGTGGTGTTCAGCAATAAGAAATAATTTTTCTGTGTTTTATTTTTATTACTAGAGAACCAAAAGAAGAAGGTATGCCCATGGATATCTCTATAACTCCATCCTCCCTGCAGATGAAAACCCCTGCAGGCTGCACAGAGGTCTGGCTTCCAGCAGAGGTCAGGCTTGTACCTCCCTCCAGCCGCGGGCTGCAGTATGTTGCCGGCGATGGGCTGCACCTGCGGCTGCAGGCGCGGGCGGAATTCAGCACAAGTATGTAATGCTAGCCCTCCTGTTTCTGCATTAACCTTTTCATTATAAATGAAAGAGATTTTCCCATTAAAAAACTGAACTTTTCCCAGGTGAAAATAACTGCTCATCAGTGGCATGGGAAGAGCTGAGGGTCAAGAGGATCTAGGTTCTTTGTCAGCTAGGAGTTAACCTTTCTGGGGCTTTGTTTTGTTGGATGTTTTTCAGTGTTTTTTCTCCCAGCAGACTTATTTTTTTAGAGCAGTAGTAGGTTCACAGCAAAACTGAGCAGAAGATGCAAAGATTCCCCTGTACCCCTGCTTTGTCTCTTTAATTGTAAAATCGCATGGTTCCCAGTGCCAACGTGAAGAGTAAATCAGATGGTTTGTGCAAGACCTAGTTTATTTTAAAGCATTTCCTAGAAATTCATGAACTCAATGAACATTTCTTTATACTCTGCTAGGCATGATCTAGGTTCTAGGGTTAGAAAAGCGAACAGTCTGCCCTCAAGGAGCCTACATTCTAATGGGTGGGAATATATAATGACCAAGTTAACTACTTAGATACAGAGAAAAGCTTTAGGAGCTAAGTAAACCAGAAGAGTGGGGTGGGGAGTATCTGGGGATGGGTGGAGAGTGGTCAGGGGAGGCCATTCAGGGGAAGTGATGTAAAAAAATTGTTTTAATCCTCACCTGAGGACATTTTTTTATTTCTCTTAGAGAGAGGAAGGGAGAGAGAGAAGCATCTATGTGAGAGAGGAAAATTGATTGGTTGCCTTCTATGTGTGCCTGGACCTGGGATTATAATGCCTCCGGACCAAGGATTGAACCAGCAACCTAGGCATATGCCCTGACCAGGGAATCAAACCTGCAACCTTTCGGTTATGGGATGACGCTCCAACCAACTGAGCCACACCAGCCAGGGCGAGGAGGCAATATTTGATCAGAATGGCAGAAATGATCCTATCCATGTAGAAACATTTTCAAATAGAACCGTACAAATAAAGATTCTGCAACTGAGTTTGATGCATAATTTGATTTTGATTGTTGCTGTGCTTGTCATATGTCCAATATTTTGTTACTGGCACATTGATTCATTAAGATAGTAGAAGTGTTTCTCAGAATAATTTATTGAATAAAATTATTGGCTATTACATCTCTTACCATGTAAGTAATATATTTTGGAGGATTGAAATGATGTAAAAATGGGAAACAAAGGCTGTAACAGACTGATATTAAGCTCATTATCAGAGGAGGGTGTTAAGTTTTCCAGCTGTGCCCTCAGACTTCCCTGATGCCTCATTTTCACTAAGCCTTTCATCTGAGCTGCGTGGAACCTGGAGGCGGGGTCAGCAGGACTGTTTTGAAGGGCCATTTCAGAGATGGGAGCGTACTTCAGTGCCCCGGAGTCTCTTTGCCGCTTTTCAAAGGAAAAAGAAGATAGAGGAAGTTTTGTACCCTTTTTGCTCATGTCCTGGATTGATGAATCACTAGCGTGAGTTGGGTAGAGTTAGGGATAAGAGGTAAGGAAAAGAAGAAATGTCATGGAGATTAAATAGTGTTTGGCATAAGAGAAACACTAAGAATGACTGGTGGAATATTCAGGGAAAGAAGAATGAGTCACAGAGATGAGAAACACACTAACAGACCCCCTGAGTATACCTTGTAGTAGGCAGAGGGAGTGCTATTTCAGGGAGGAAGCCCTGGGCCTCCGGCCGGTATCAAGCCATCTCTTCTCTTCAGCAATGATGAACCACAATAGTAACCACAGCAGGAATTTTTTTTGTCTGCACGTAACTTGGGAAATGACAGTCATGAAAGCCACAGTGGGCTGTTTTCCTTTCTGCTAGTTCTCTGAGACCACAATTTTAGGTCCCATACTGAGGAGGCATGAGACCTTTCGGACACAGACTTGGTTTACTGCCTACCCATATTCTGCAACAGCTGATATTCAAATGGCAAAACTTGAATTATTTAAAAAAATTTAAAATCAAACATTGTTTAGTTTTGACTAGAGGACAAAATAAATTGACTGCTGTGTGTCGGTTTGCATATTGTTTGCATTCATTAGTCTCCTGTTTCTTTATATTTCTAAAATGTGCTTTACTGAAATATCTGAAAAGAAAAGCTTTCAAAGCCCTGTTCTGTGGTGCATGAAAGGGGGTATGCAAAACAGTCCTCGGTGCTTAATTGCTTCAGTGCTTTCCACATAATAAGTGCTGAATGAACAAATATCAGATAGATGCATACTGATGTAAACTTGAATCAGAATGTATTGTAGGAAGTGAGTTTTGAAATTTCTAGCATTCCATTGTGATTCAGGGTTTTTAAAAACTTGACTTTTCAACTATAAAAACTTTCTTCTAAGGACGATAGTAATTATACTGTTCTACTGTTTTGACTGTACCCTAGGTCTGATTATGACCCTTACGTGGAACATAAAGTCCGATACAGCACAAGTATTAGGATGCCCCCTGATCTGAAAGTTCTGACTTGAACCTGAGCCAGAGGATCATGCTGGGTGACCAGCAGAGGGAAGTGTTTCACTGAAAATTTGTTTACTGGTTCTGAAAAGAATATTTTGGATGCCTTACCCAGGTCTACTTAATTTTACAATCCATACCAAGTAACACAAACCAAATCTAAGTTACTTGATTCTGCCCTGGTTGGTGTGGCTCAGTGGTTGAGTGCTGGCCTGCAAATCAAAGGGTGGCTAGTTCGATTCCTAGTCAGGGCATATGCCTGGGTTGCAGTCCAGGTCCCTGGTAAGGGGTGTGCGAGAGGCAACCACATTTAGTTGTTTTTCTCCCTCTCTTTCTCCCTCCCTTCCCCTCTGTGTAAAAATAAGTAAATAAAATCTTAAAAAATAAATAAATAAGTAAATAAATTGCTTGATTCTAGTGGACATAACCTCATTTCTTTAGATTTTTTAAATAGACATGTATTTGTGTGTGTGTGATTTCCTCATGGATATGGCGGGGGGGGCGATTTTTTTTCCTCCATGAATAAAATAAAGGAAACTAAGAGAACATACTGCCTTATGCTGCTCTTCACATAATGTGGGCCATGTGTGGTTTTCAGCAGCTTTAATCAGAAATTGAGTTTTGCTCTTGGAAGATTGAATTCTTCTTAGGAGCCATTCCATTCTCAGGAACCTGTCCAATAAAGACCAGTTTCAGGATTTATTTTGTTTGTACATACTAGTAAAATGCTAAAGTGGACATAAATCTTGTTTAAATCAAATTAAACTTTTAAATTAGAGAGCTTTATTTACCAGCAGTCACACCGATGAAAAAACTGTACCTCAGACGTAGCAGAAGAATGCTGAGCATGGTGAAGCTCTGAGTGGTCAGCCCGGGGTGAAAGAAACAGCCCCTTTCCCTCATTGCTAATGACAGAGAAGTAACAGTAGGGAACCTGAACAGTCTCGGGCAGTACCTAGCTCTGAAGCACTTAGCGAAATCTGTTGTTTTGGAAAACACTTCACAATATTTACTTGTGGCTGAGTCATCAGATAATACTAATTAAATGTGTAGATCATGAACAGTATTGATCGACGGTAATTTATTGTGGCTATTAAACTCTTATACATATGTTAATATGTTTGTCCCAAACCTCTAAGATGTCTGTTTTTGTTGATTTCCTTTAGAACAGATTTCAGTGTTTAACCAAAGCTCGCACACTGGAGGCTGTTGCACACTCTATTGCCAATCCTGCGGTGAAGTCATAATAAGGGACAGGTAAGGAATGCATTTTACCCTGTTTAGTTCTGTGCCTGGCGGTGGTTTTCTCTTTCCTGTCAGAAGTTTTGAAGTACCTGCCAGGGAACAGTGTATGGCCTTAAAGTGAGAGCCAGCTTAATGTCACTTTGAACAACATTAACCATAAGACTCTCCAGCAAAGACTCTGAAGCAGTTAGTTCTTCTCAGGGTGTGAAGCGGAACAGTAGGGTGCTTTCTCTGATGAAGGGAGGGTTCTCTTGGTAGAAGAGTCCTTTGGTCCCTGAAACATCTCTCTTTTGAAAAAAGACATGGGACCTACTGCGTGTTTATCATGTTGGTGAATGAGGTTCTTCTCCACATTAAGTGAATTTTCTAAATAGCAGAAGCTTTTGCAGCACAACTTTTTATTTGAACTATTTCTATTAGTGCCTTTCTAGAATCCATTTCCTAGTTCTCTCCTTATTAAAGCAGAGCATACAGAGAACACAAAGTAACCTTTTCTTGTTGGTTAGGTTAACCACATAACCTGTTCTTTCAGCGTGCTGTGATTACCCCACTGAGAGGGAAAGCGCTCTTTGCCGCGCCCTTTGCATTCCCTGGTTGTCTCTCTAATTATTTTCCCATCTGCTCCCTTCCTCCGTCAGCCTCCTTGTTTCTGGGCACAAACACTTCCCCCTGAATTTTCAGCTTCTGATCACTCATAAGCTGGGAAGACAGTTGGAAACCTCATTCTTTTTAACAGTATTTATAGAAAATGATCTAGAGCTCTTCCATAGGTACACTTCCTCTGAGACTTACACGTGAATGGATCCTGCTCCGTATCTGAAACCCACTCCTCCTGCAGGACTCCCTGTCTCAGGGCAGGCCACACGCCTGCCTGCGTCCTCAGAATCCTGGTGGTATCTGCTTGGGTTCCTCCCTGTCCGCCCTTTATAGTCAGTCATTAGGTACTTTTGCTACTTCCTTCTCTGCATTTCCTACAGGTCCACTTTCTTCCACCCCAGTGCTCCTACCTCGGGAGGCTACTGTCTTCTCACCTGATAGCATTTGTTGCCAGCTCCTTATCTGCTTAGCCTTCCTCTGGGTTCACTTTGTCATCGCTTCTACACTTCTGAGGGGTTATTTCCAAATGCGGTTGGCTCTCCTGCTCACACTGTTCCATATCTTTCAAGGTAAATTTCATAAAACCTTAGTGTGCTAGGTTCACTAAGTTCACTAGGTTCACATGCTAGGTTCTTTCCACCCTCTTGTTTTAGCCCTTTTTTTCTTCCTTGTCTCCCAGAACACACCCTTATTTATACACATTCTGTGCACAGCTCAGCCTGCCTGCGTTCCCCAGTCTCTCCATGCTGTTCTCTGCCCTAACTGGAGTAATGAATACTCTCTCCCTTGGAGTGCAGCCTGTGCCCTCATCTCTCTCCGGCTGGCTCCTAAGTTCAGCCCATAGGGCATCTACTGCCAGGAGCCTTCCCTGAGCACTGGGTGGATTTATGTGCTCCTCTGACGTTTATTTGCCTGTCTTCCTGATTAAACTGTAGGCTCTAAAGGTGGGGATAGTCTTATTGATCCCTGTATCCCTCATCCATGCTCATATTTACAGTGCAGGTTACTGTAGTGGTTAGTAGTACAGACTCAGAAGCCAGACGGTCTGGGTTTGCATCCACCATTTATTAGATGTGACCCTGGGCAAGTTACTCAACCACTCTGTAGCCTCAATTTCCATATTACAAGTAATATAGATAACAATAGGAGCTACCTCATAGGGTTATTTGGAGGATCAAATGAGTTTAAGTGTTTATAACCATGCCTACCCATGGTAAGTATTTAGTATGTGCTAGCTGCTGCTATAATTATTTTTACGATCATCATTTCCAGCATCAGGTGCTGTTCCTGGTGAATAGTGCTCTCAATAAATTCTTGCTGGGTTGAACTGAATAAATGTTAGGGTGTTTATTTTGGCCTTCTGCCATTCTCTCTTGCTTGCTTTATGATCCCTGGCAATGTCTCAAGTAGCGGAGATAACAGAACGTTACCTCAGTGGAAGCAGGGGTTGTGAGCAGAGCATCCTGGGGATGATCTTGGGTAAGAAATGAGGTGGCTCTCAATCTGTAAAGGGGAGGGGAACGTCCTTGCTCAGATTACCGAAGGGCTGAAGTTGCTGCAGCATATGTACTCCGAGACAGGCTCGCCTTCGTTAGCCCGGGCAGTCCAGAGGGCCCCAGTTTACGTGGTAGGTTAACCAGGAAAGCTTTCCTTCCCAGTCGGTTTCAGGCTTTGGTTTCATTCTCACGTGACGTTTCTTAAACGTGGGTGCCTGCACAACAGTGAGGTGACCTAGTAGTTACAGTGGGAACAGGTGACATGCACTGTAACGGTGTTTCCTGGCACTGCTCTCCCTAAAGGATATGCGTGTTCGTTATTGGCTACATGTGTTTCATTGGAAAAGAATGATGAATACGAAAGACCTTTACCTGTAGTCCCCATTTTTCCATTCAGGAACTGTTATCTTCTGTTCCGTGTCAATCCTTACTACGGTCTTGGGACTGATAACCTGGGGGGGGCTTAGAAGCTAACACCGAAAGACCACAGTATCGAGTCTCCTTAACCCTGACACTAGGGGGCGGTGAAGGGGAGAGTGGGACCTGGGTTTGAACTCGGCTTCACCACTTAGTAGCTGGGGAACCCGTTCGCGTCACCTCAGCTGCTGCTGCTTTCTCTTTTAAATTAAATTGATTAGGGTAACATTGGTTAATAACATGTGTTTCAAGTATATAATTCTATATTATATCATCCGCATATTACATTAGATGCTCACCACCCATAATCTAATCTCCTTCCCTCACCATACATTTGACCCCCTTTACCCTCTTCATCCTCCTCTTACTCCTCTTTCCCTCTGGTAACCTTCATACTGTTGTCTGTGTCTGAGTTTGTTTGTTGCTTTGTTTCTATCCCACGTATGAGCGAAACCATGTGGTTCTTGTCCTTTCCCATCTGACTTATTTTGCTTATTACCATGAGTATTTTCAAGATCTGCCCACGGTGTCACAAAGGGTGCTATTTCATCCTTTCTTATGTCTGAGTAGTATTCCATTGCATATTTCTGCCGTATTTTCTTTATCCAATCATCTATTAAGGGATACTTAGATTGTTTACATGTCTTGGCTGCTGTGATTCATGCTGTAATTAACATAGGGGTACATATATCTTTAAGAATATATGTTTTTAAATTTGGGGGTAGATACCCAAAAGTCAACTTTCCCTTAACTAGACATAAAAAAGCCTATTTTCCAAACTTGTGAAGAGAGTTAAAGGCTGTAACACATAGAATATTAATGCTCAACAAGCCCTTTTTAACTGGTTCTATAAACTCCTTCTGTACTCCCTTTTCCATAACTGGTCCTACTAGCAAACTAGCAAATTACCTTGTTTAGTGTTTTACATCTTTTTTATTCAGGACTGTGTTTTTTAGGTGTGCCGGGGAATTGACCCACCTTACTCCCTTTTCCTTCTGAGAAGGTGAACAGCGGACTTGACTTAGCCCTTGCCTCACTTAAGCGAGGTCACCTGAAAGCCGTTTTCCTATCACGTGTGTATGTAGCTTGTGTATGCCTTTTGAACAACAGAGGAATCCTTAGCAGGCAGGTTAGGATCTAGCTTACATCCCGCTGTCAGGCAGTTTGCCCTGTGACTTTGTTTCATGGAAAAACCTGATTCCTCCAGTATCTGTGCTAGGATTTTCTGTTGACTGTGTACATTGAGCCCAACGGTATTACTGTTTCTCCCTCAGTTATCTATTTTATGTGGTGAAAAGGGCATCTTCTGTTCTCGTTCAGTAGAAAATAAAAGCAAATGTATTTCAGTATTTCCAAAAAAGGCTTGTGTATGTTCTAACTAAACCATCTAATTTGTAGACATTTTTACCAAGAAGGCACCTTGGAATGTATTGATTTATCTGCTCTGAAAGCTCCTCTAATAGGAGCATTAGATCAGGCTTAAGATCCGCTTACCAGCTAGCCTTATTACCTAGGAACAAGTCACTTAAAAAAAAAGATTTTATTTATTTATTTATAGACAGAGAAGAAGGGAAGGGAAGAGAGAAGGAGAGAAACATTGTTTGGTTGCCACTCATATGCTCCCAACTAGGGACCTGGCCTGCAACACACGCATGTGTCCTGATTGGGAATTGAACCAGTGACTTTTTGGTTCACAGGTGGGTGGTCAGTCCACTGAGCTACATCAGCCAAGGCAATGGAATAACTCACTTTAATTCCCTGAGCTTCAATTTCCTTATCTATAAAATTGGGAGGTTGGATTAGATAAACCTGTGATCCCTGCCAGCATGAAAATGCTGTGATTAATGAACCTCATAAATTTGTGCCTGGATTCTGTGATTTGTGTAATTTGGATACTGCAAGACTAATGCTTTTCCTTTTTTTTTTTTTCCTCTTTGTCAAGCAAATTACAGCAGTAAGGTGCACAGGACTATTTAACCTATTAAGACTCATTAATGGCTTTTAATACTTATTAGTACCAGGGCACATGAAATCAGCTAAAAGTACAGTAGTCTTTTTTCTTAATTTAGGATTACATATTCTTAGCTGTTTGCTTTGGTTATTTAAAAACAAGCACTGCTTTGTTTCTTTACAACAAAAATTTTCAATTTGCATTTTTACTAGTTCAGCAGAGTTTTTCTATAAAAGTTGTCTGAACATGTACAATTTTGTATTATGCTCTTATTGAGACTAACAGGCCCTAGTATCAATCATTAATAATAGCAGAATTTACATCTTTGTGGATAGTTTCAAAAACAGCTAAATGGTCATTGTGCTTGGAATTTTTGTTTCTAGAAATAAATTCATGTCAGACTTGAATTACATCAGTTGGCCAGACTTTCAAACATGTGCCTTTTGATTTTCAATCCACCTGAAACTTCTCCTGAGGTTTCTGGACAGGCTCTTTCTACTCCACCTGCTCCGACAGAGCTCAGTGTCAGCCTGGCAGCTCATAAGGGCACT